TACTCTACTTGTCCTCTGTAGCCTGTCTTTACATGCCTTGTCTGTAACCAGTGTGTCTAGGCTTTCCTTGTTTAACCTAGTACTAACATACACTTGTACTAACTTGTCTCCTAACAGAGAGCTATAAGCAGAAATGCATTACAGGTGAGCAGCATATAGCTCCGCCCCTCGGACTAGCCACACAGGTTCAGCAGCTGGAGGCCAAAATCGATGAACTCAAGGACTTTGGTGAGAACCTGGCCCTGTCTATGGAGAGTGCAGCGGTATGTACAACAACACCTGTGTAAATTAACTCATTTTCTGTAGAGATAAACTTCCACATAAATTCGCACGGAAACTCGTTCACTAATTAAAATCTTCCAAATGTTAACTCAACAGATAATTACTTAATATCAATAATGAAAAAGCATCAACACATATGTAAAGTATTAGTGAGGTAAACACTACAGTCATAATTTGCAAAAAAATAAGTCCACACAAAGTAATCTAATTAACAAAACCAAGATTAGGCTTATTTAAGGATTGGTTTTCATATTTTTGACATGCATTGGTGTGTAACATACATTTGCTTACCTACATATTGAATGGGGCGTGCTATCGCACAATGTTACATATGTATGTAAGCCATTGTATGTTACACACCAATGCATGTCAAAAATAGGAAAACCAATGCTTATATTTACATTTTATGTTAATCAACTTACAGTTCACGCAGAAATAAAGACATAATATTAGTCTGAACGCATTTCAATGTCAGGGTAAATCCATACAGAGAACAGCCACCAGTTGACGGTGGAACAGTGCAATCTCCAACGTTACAGTTATGACGTCATAAGCATAGCGACGTCACAATGGCCCAATGTATGTTATACAAAAAAAATAAAAAATACATTGGGCCCAGTAGAAACATCTAGGCTCTGTGCAGTGGAAATGTAAATATGATAAATTATGACAGATATGATGGTTCGTTTGGCCATGGTTATCACAAAAAATGTTGTTATTTATCATGAAAGACAGAAATATTTGTGTTGTTTATATAGATCTGTAAGTGGCAGAGCATTGAGGGACAAGAGAATGTGAACTCCAGGCTGGTACAACTACTGGAAGAGATGAAGGGCGTACTCATGCAGGCCTCGCAATCAGGTAAGGTGAAGGTCATTGCCCGACTCTTACGATAATGTAACAAAGTCACAGCCTCCACACTGGTGTAATATACCCAGGTTATTATCAATACCTCATACACTATCTATCACTTAGCATTATCAAGGTTAAAGGGTCACAGGTCAATGTCCGCTAATTAGTATAACCAAGGTCAAGGTCACACTCCAATTAGTATAACCAAATACAGGGTCAAGGTCATTGTTTATCTCTTAGTTTATCAATATATTTTTAGGAATATTTCCATTGGTTTGTTCTCAAATAATTTAACTTTGTACAATATCATCTACTTCTAAAAATATAAAGTATTTTGATAACTGCATCATCTTCTCAGTAATTGCCTCTGACCTTTTCATGCAGTCGAGTCCAGTCATTTTGTTGTCGCTTCACAGTGTAACTTTTGTATTATTTGCAATATTTTCTGACTGTGTTACAGAGGAATGTTTCTACACATCTGACGCCCTGGGTAATTTTGAAAAGTTGTATGGACAGGCTATGCAACTACAGGTCCAGGTAAGACAAAATGGTCATGACATCCACAATATTTCTATTCCACTGAGCTGGTAGGCATTGGTTTGATATCTGCTATTGGATTTCAGTTGTATCTTACATCTAAGACATCCTATATACCCGTCACCAAGCTTTGTATTGATGATATATCAGTGATTTTATCTGTCCCCAAACAACACTACCAGAGCGGAATGGTGTAAGACGAAGCATCACTTTGTCTGCAGCATATCTCATACACACTGTCACCTACAATTGCCAAATTTTGTATACAGATACAACTTGGGATGGAGAAATGTAGAATACTGAAATTAGATCTTGTACCATACTGCATAGTGTTCTGGCTGTTTTGTCATTTTTGATAACAATGTTTGTCAAAACGTGTATATTTTTTCTCTCTATCCTTTACATTAACCCCATATTTAGAATTGAGTTGTCAAACATTACATTTCTGGAAGAGTTTGTTCAGTAAGTTTGTATGAAGTTGTCTCCCCTTTTAATTGTTGCATGTCTGACAGTAAGTTGTCTCCCCTTGTGATAGGTCAACGATGTAAAACATTCAATTATCCACCCTTGTCATAGTAAAGGCACATAAGTACATCCCTGGCCATTTGAAATGTCATAATATATAAGTTGTCTCCCCTTGTCAAAGCAGGGCTGCCAAATATACATCTTGGCCCATATAGGAGGTCAAGGTAAAAACTCACATATTGAGTTGTTTCCCTTTGTTTTTCTAGCTGAGTAACCTTAGGCTGAGCCAATTGGAGAGGAACAAGGAAATCATGACGATGAAGCGCCAACTGCTGTTACAGGAAGCGAACAACCTCCTACTACAGGCGGACATCACACGGCGGGAGACGGAACTACATTACTACAAGTCTCAGACCAAACGTGGCCCCTCCATCAAACGTTGGAACACATTTTCAATAGTGGAAGGACGAACGGTTTGTACAAACTTTTTAAAAAGGACTTGTGACCTATAGATATTACCTATGGCTAATCCATTTTAACCCATTAACTACCAGTAGTGACATGTTTTAGACTTCAAAAACCATAGCAACAGTTTTATCATGTCATCTGGACCTAGAAATAAGAATTTCTCAACATTTATTTTTATTACTGATTTGTTGGATTGCATCACAACAAGGTTAGAGGCACAAAATTAATCTGGTTTATGAAATTTTGCAAGATAAAGTAAGATAAAGTAAGATATACCAACCATATATTTCATTTCAAAGATAATCTTTTATATCTTTTTTTTTATTAGATGTAATTTATTTAAATCAAATGTAAAAAAATGTTATATTTCTTATTGGCAACCCACTTTTGTCTTGAATCATGCTCTCCAGGATAAACCTGCAACAAAGACAGTCACCAAGTAAGTTACCATGGCGACGCCCCAGACTGATTCAATTACACGTGTACAGCATTTTTCACAAAAGAACCTTTGTTTGTCATCAGACTCTAGACACATAAATATAAATGTATAAATAAAACATATGTTTTCCAATTATTTTTTATTTGTTAAATATATATATCAGTTTTATAAAATTTGGATTGTGTAGCACACAGGAGCTTGGAGCAACACAGTCATGCGTAGCATTTTCAAAGTACTAATTTGGCTAGTTTATATTTTTGCTCCAGTTATCCATGCAAATACGTGTATATGGCTTTCCTGACATTTAATTAGTAACTGTGACCCTTAGAAAGAGGTTTGAATGTATAGTGTGTGCATTCATTGGTTCCTAAATACCATCATACTGATATAATCTTTAGAAATAAGCACATTAACACACAAAAACGGTTCTACGGTTCAAGAGGTAAATAAAAAATTCAGCAACATTACTCATTTGGAATATTTTCCTTAAAAAAATCCAATGTTGACCAGTGTTAAATTGTATAGGGTTATTCTAAAAGTTCTACATTTTTTTTTTTAATTTTGAGGAAAAAAGAAGTACACTTCCAGTGAAAGCATCTAGCACAGTAAAATTATTGTTTGTGAAGTAAGAGTGATTGCCATATAAACTCCTTGTCCAATCCTTGTTGTTTTTGGTATAAAGTGTGTAGAGGATCAGTGTTAGTAAGTATGCTTTGCGTCTGCCTTATAACCATTATTTTCCATGTAACTAACTTATTCCCACCGACACTGACTTCCCTAAAAGAATCTACCACACGTACGATCCTTCAATGTGCCATGATTACATCATGTAAATGCAGATTTCCTTATGTGGTGTCTTGATTTATGGTAATTGTTATGTCTTTTTAATAATTGTGACATTATTAAATCATTCACCCCTGAAATTTCATAATGAACTATTCCAACCTTTGAATCGGAAGAGTTCAAATGTGTCTTCAGGGGTGAATGAGTTCAAGAAGATCAAATTGTGCAGTGGTCATTGTACATAGGGGTTATGTATTAAGTTTTCTTTAAATTGGTTTGAAGATCAAGTCATTCATGACCACCATGACATGACTTTGACCATATAAGGATGAGAAGTCCTTATATTATCAAATCAGTAGGTGTTGGGTCATGTTTGAAAGTCTCTGTGATGACCAGATCTCTTAAAAGAATATCTGTATTCGATCAGTGAAAGTTCATTTTCCATAAATTAATTGCTTAAATAATTTCATTTATTTCTAAATAAACTAAAACAAATATTTATACAACATGGAAAAGTGTTGTTTTTTTCAATAAACAAGCTGTGCCATCTAACTGAAAAAGTTTTGAAGTAAAGGCAACAAACTGCAATTCATGGAAAAATGAACTAGCTTTAATTTGGTTCTTTTATTGAGTCAATTACAGCAAATTATAATTGTTTACTGACACTCACTGATACCTCAACATAAAAGGTTGATATCCTCACCGAACTTATATTAAATATCCTCTCTAAAATTAAATTGAATATCAACAGTGACACCTTATACTGTTGCATTTGAGGAAGCTGATACTTTTGTTTATAAACGGGCTTAGACGAGTTTGATCCACTCTTACTAATCCTTTACCCTGTCAATCAGTACCATATATAGATATGTTGTTATGTTATGTTGTTGTAGGACGAAACCAAAGATGCTGACAGTGTTCCGCCATACAAAAGATACTCCCAAATCCTCAAAGACAGTGGCGAGCCATCAGTAATGGCTGCTGTCCTAGAAACACCCATGGCAGGTAAGAACCATCAACAAACTTCATTGTCATTGAAACACCCATGCCAGGTAAGAACCATCAACAAACGTCATTGTCATTGAAACCAACATGCCAGGTAAGAACCATCAACAAAAGTCATTGTCATTGAAACACCCATGCCAGGTAAGAACCATCTGCAAACGTCATTGTCATTGAAACCCACATGCCAGGTAAGAACCATCAACAAAAGTCATTGTCATTGAAACACCCATGCCAGGTAAGAACCATCAACAAACATTGTCATTGAAACACCCATGCCAGGTAAGAACCATAAACAAACGTCATTGTCATTGAAACCAACATGCCAGGTAAGAACTATCAACAAAAGTCATTGTCATTGAAACTCTCATGGTTGGGAACCATCAACTGTGGTTGTTGCTATATAAATCATGGTAGTTTTCCGAGAAACACCCATTCTAATTATACGTAAGAACCATCAACAAAAGTCATTGTCATTGTCATTGAAACACTCATGGTTGGGAACCATCAACAGTGGCAGTTGCCATAGAAACTATGGTAGTTTTCATCAAAACACCCATGCCAGGTTAGAACCTTCAAGAATGATGGATGCCATTTATGGAAGCTTCAATATTTAGATATTATTAATTAACATGCACACAAGCTAAAACATGCAATTGATTTTGCATTTATATGTTCAATTTACTTCTGATTTAGCAGTTTAAGTGGCAGGATTATTTGCATAATGGTTGAATAGAAAAAGATCCAGCCTGTCCCCAAAAACATTGATTAGCAAATGAGTTGAAGTGTATTGATAAATTATGCTTAACTGTAAAAACAAAACATAATATTGCCAATGAATTATGGTCAGACAGTTTGGAAATGACTAATTGATAATTCACATTTTTTGTTATAGTTAATAAGAAGCAGGTGGTTGAGCCGTTGATGGACCAGACAAGACAATCAACAGCTAGTAGTGCTCAAAGTATGTTTTACCTTGATAACTTCCCGGAGTCCAAATCTGAACTTCAACAAGTTTCCGATAGAGAGCCCATAGAGAAGGAAATTGAACGTGTAGAAACAGAAGATTCCGTCCAGTTGTCGGAAGGACAAGCGAGAATAATTAACGTTTCTCACAGTCCTGGCGGTGAGATGCCCACGGTCAAACTACCCACTGCCAGCATATCTCTGCCACAGCCTTACAAACCTCAGCCTGTTCTTCCACAGGTCATCCGTCAGCAAGCAATGATGTTACTTTGTAGACGTGCACCTCAAAGGGAGGATGAAACGTTCACATCAAATTTGGTCTCAAGGAGTGCTACAAAACCACCACAAGTGAAAAATTCTAAGGAAATTTCTAGACATAAATCAGGCGACAGTGATTTTGGTTTGCCTGCCAGACTACCTGCTACAAGTGAAGCGAGCAGTCGTCCCTCTCTGTCAGACTTGACAAGCGACTCTATGTCGCAGTCAATGGATGACACTGAGGACAGCCTGTACGAGACTGATGTCTTTTTCAGCAGCGTCTCAAGTCTAAAGCAGGTAAAGAGTGCGCCAGCGTCCCAGTGTGGGCGTGGGTCCCACAGAGATACAGACTACGGGACTAAGGTTCATATCAGTCCTGCCGTCAGTCCCATAATCTCTAAACGCAGAACTCACCCTGCTTCTTTGCCCCGCACAAGACAAGTGTCGTATGCTCAGCGAATACGGCCAGCCGAGGAGCTGATGGAAGAGAGCCGACGATACAGAAAGGGACATTCTGTTTATATGTCACGCATTCTTCGCAAATACGCCACCACTGGTCACATGGAGAAACATGCAGAACTAGTCCTAAAAGGATATGATGACAAGGAAAATGTCACGGAAGGATATGTGAAAAGTATCGTCAAAAAGATGTCTAGAGAGAGTACCCCGGATTATGAAAGTAGGATTCACGATATTGTTAACTCTTCGCAGACAAAATCCACATTTGTTCCAAGTATGGTACAAAAGTTGTCAACAGCAAGTGAACCTGACCAGACGCGTAGTAGTGTTCCATTGTCTGATCTCACAAACGGTGGTGGAAAGAAGGTTAAATATCTCGCCGAAGCGTACAGTAGTACTAGTTCTATTAGTGCAGCTCAAACGCAGGGAACACTTCGCCGCTCCGAGTCTCCGCTTGGCTTCTCATCCATGCCTACCCTCCAGGTGGAGCAAAAATCATCTGACTTTGCATATAGGGAGCGTGCAGCTACCACGGCAACCTGTCAGGACGATCCTGCAACGCCTGTAGCTGCAGCTACCAAAGACTCATCACCACAACACAGCATCCCATCACACCAACAATTCCCAAAGTTACAAAAAGTTAAAAAATTAGGTAAGGTAAAAATGGGAACCATTGGTTTCCTCTGTCAACAGACAATGGTGGATCTAGGCATCACACAGGTATCACAGTGTGAATCGGTTACTCACCTCAAACTGACAGTGGCCCGACCTCCAGGGCCAAGGTCTGGGGAAGGAGCCTCTGGTACCACGACTGAAGACAGGAGATCCAGGACTAGCTGGATACAGAAAAAGTTCTTCAAAACCTCCAAGTAGGTATACATACTGTTACTGTAGCTATACATGTAATTACACAAACCTCCAAGTAGGTATACATACTGTTACTGTAGCTATACATGTAATTACACAAACCTCCAAGTAGGTATACATACTGTTACTGTAGCT